AAAATCGGAATTGAAAATTTTTACATTTCTCGACGTTTTGAAGGTTTCTGAACATTTTGGCATACTTCAGAAAAAATGGATGTGTGTGTGTATGTATGTATGGATACAATATTTCGCCCACATTTTCGGGCGTACGAATCAACCGATTTGAATGGTTCAAAAAACATTCGATTTCTATTGATAAGGAGATGTGGTGATTAGTTTTTGGAAAAGGCAAGTCCAGCAGTTACGGAGATAAAGAGCAAAGAGTGCAGAAAATAGAAATCGAGTTTTTGAGAGATTGAATGATCTAAAAAACATTCAATTAGTAATGATTGGGAGAAGTGGTTATTAATTTTTCGCAAAGGCAGGTCCAGCCATTTCAAAGATACGGAGCTAAATGTACAAAAAATGGCGGTTTTTGAGAGAACTAAGCGTCCGATTCAATTGATTCAAAGAACTTTCTGCTTGTCTTAACAAAATAATTGATTTTGTTAAAAAAAATTTTGTTTCATTTTTTTTTTTTTTTTTTTTTTAATTTTTGGTATATCGAAAATAATTCAGATTTTATTTTTAATTCTGACTATAGTTCTAATATACTTTAAACAATTAATTTCAACTTTGCAATTCAGTTTATATAATTCTTATAAATATTAGACAATGTTACAATATTTATAATAATCTATTTGAAAACATTCAGTATTCCTCGCACATTTCGTTACGGTACGGGAAGTTCCAGCAATTTGCCTTAAGGCACAATGCCATCCACCCCACTAGTTTTGATCTATTTTCCAACTTTTTTTTGTCAATCGAGGAATTTACAGTCTTTCTAAAAACAAAATATAAGTTACTTTTAGCTAATTTTAAGTGGTTAAATTAATAGAAATTATTTGTTAATTTTTAAAATATTCTTTCCTTCACTCTATTGTCTCTTTAATTGCGATATTTAAAAACAGTGTAGGAAAGACCTGTTAATATTGCTGAGCTTAATAATTTTTTAAATATACCCAAAAATTAAAATATAATAATATGTTTTAACAGGCAAGTCTTTAAAATTGTTTTAAATCATGATTATTTAAGTTACACAATGTCTTTAGATTATTATTTTCTAGTATTTTGCATAGTTCATGTTTATTTATGGGTTACAATAATGTCCATAAATTATTTACTCAAGTTTTTCTTAAAGCATTTCTAAATCAATTTGGTTTCTAGAAGAGTTCAATTAGGGAATGAAACTACTCAGGATAATAATTCATGTAATAATTATTATTATTTCAGAAAAGAAGTTTTTGTTAACTTCGATTATTAATTTAGCTATTTATTATTTACTTCAAAGTTAGATCATTCTTTAGCATAATTATAAAAAATACATATTCAATTTAATTCAATTATTCTTTATTACTCACAATTAGAAAATATTCGCAAAGCCAAAGATAAAACGTTGCCAAAATATATTATTGGCAAATTAGGCGCTACATTCCACCATCGTTTTGTTATTGAATTTTTGCGTTATCTACGAATAATACTGTACAAAATAATTCTGTTGCTCAAAGTATAGTTATAAATATTTAGAATGAACCTCTTATCTTAATATACACACAGAATTCAATAACATATTTAATGTTATACTGCCATAATTTTAAATTTAAACATACATATATGTTCAAGCAAAATATGTTTTCATAATAAAAAATACTTATAGTATATATCCGTTACCAGAATGAATTATTTACACTTCGATACTACATATACTATATTCATCTATATATACCGTCCAAAATGTGATCCATTTCCATATATAATTTATTGGCCTTTAAACCTTTAGCGTTTTAATAGTTCCGTTTTAAAATTGAAATATTAGACGCATTGACCGATTCGTGACACATGAGATTGAGGTCACATAAACAATGTTTTGATTACATTTAGAATTGTGTTACAAGATTTAATAAAATTTAAAATTTTAACACAAAACATCACGTATTGTAAATGATCTTTTAATATTTTTACTTCCAAGAAAGGCAATGAAAGCAATCCGTAACAGTAATAGGAAACGCAACATAAAAGATAATAATAAATCATATTCGAGATTAATGATAGTATCATCATTTAATTATACAAAATCTGTGATGGTATCGTGTAACTCTGAGTTAAGATAAATTGATCAACTTCTATAAATTAAATTAAATCATGAAATTGAATATTGATTATTTTGAGATTATTGATTATTGATCGCTAAATAATGAAATTGAATATTGATTACTTTTTTATGAGTTTTAAAGTACAAGAACCTGAATACCTGAATACAGTTTTTAAGTATACTATATTTATTTATTTTATATGATGCATTGCTATTTTTAAATTAGATTCAATAGTTTTTTTATATAACATCTAGAATAACAGCTCACTCAATAAATCCGTAGGATGGCACATAGGTGGAGTTGCTTTGTAATAATCCATATGATTTGTAGGAAGCACGCACTTTAAGAAGATATCTATCAAAATTTCATGACAATCCGATGATTAATTTACAAGTTACATGGGTTAAAGTCGCGCTAATTTTTAGTTTTTCAAATCAATGAATTCAAATCCATTTCGTGTGTTGATTTACCATTGCTTTTTGATGGGTGAAAATACCATCACAGCCAAAGTAGCGCTTGAAAATGTTATGTGGATTCTCCAAATCAGACAAATGGTGATAGAAGTGGTTTGCTGATTTTAATCATGGCCATACAGACACTGACGATGCTGAACGCTCTGGAAGGCCAATTGTGGTGGTTACACCGGATAACATAAAAAGGCCACCGAATCGTTTAGGAAACCGAAAAGTAAACTTGTCTGAGCTGGCACCCTAAAGATATCGATAGAATGTGTTGGACATATCGTTCACAAATATTTGAATAAGAAAAAGCTCTGTGCTAAATGAGTGCCGGCGAACTCACATTTTATTTTATTTGACCAATAGTATAACGAGTTGATGATTCGTAAGAGCATTTCGAGCTTTTTAACCAAAATAAAACTGAGTTTTTGCACCGATATGTTACCATGAATGTGACCTGGCTTCATCACTCCGGAGTCGAATAGACAGTCAGCCGAGTGGACTAGACACAATGAAAAGAAAAAATGCAAATAATCAGCTGGCAAGGTTATGGCGTCAGTTTTTTTTTGGGATTTGCAAAGAATTATCTTTATCAACTACGTTAAGAAAGGCCAGGCTATCAACAGTGACTATTGTATAACATTATTGAAGCATTTTACGATCGAAGTCGGAAAAACGGCTCGATTTGATAAGAAAAATGTGCTGCGCCCTCAAGACAACGCACCAAAGTCACAAATCCGCGAAAACAGTGGCAAAAAGACATAAAATGGGCTCCGAATTTCTTCCGCACTTACTATATTCTCTACATCTGTTCCCCAGCGACCATATCCTGTTCTCAGATCTCAAAAGGATGCTCGCAGGAGAGAAATTTTTGCCGAATGAAGAGATGATCGCCAAATTTTGTGGCAAAGTTAAAATCGTACTACCAAAATGGTTTCGAGAAATGTTTGATGTTCGCTATAATTGGGATATTGGCCTCGAAGAAAACTATATTGAATAAAAAAAAGAATTTTGAAAAAAAATTGGGCATTTCTTAGTTATCCTAAGAACTTATTGAGTGATGTGTAAAAAGATCCTATTTACCACAACATGAGGTTGTGGTAAAAAGGACCACCTAAACCGGCGATAAGTATGAGCAATAAGAAAATAGTAAACGAAAATGTATAAGTTGAAAAATATATCTTAAAAAATTAATTAAATCAATAGTTATTCCAACTCTGATAATGAATGCTTCAGCCAAAGTTCCACACGAAAGTTGTATCCAGTGCGATCTATATTAAAAATGTGCCCATGGAATATGTATTACAAACAAAAGTTGTATTTATCTCATTTATAATTCATTTATAATCAAGAAACAATGAATTCGATTAAGATAATTTAAACAGAAATACCTATCAAAGGTAGTAAGTTGATATTTTTTTTTTTATTATGTATAAAAATTGTATAAAAATATTATTTTAGATTATGATTTTTCATTTTGTTGTTCAAACTAATACTTAAACTGCATTGCATTGATTAAATAATGTAACTATTATCCCATAAAACCTCTTGAAAATTAAAAACAAAATGATGGATCTTTTTGCTCTACGGCTGTGCTTGTTACCTTGTTACCCCGCCAATGTGGTAAAAATAGTAAAAAAAATCTAATAATTTGATGTGCATATGAGCAATGAGCATTTTTGACCGCTGATGATATTTTTTTAACATTTTTTTTAGATCTTCGAAATCGCTAGACATGCGTTCACAAACATTTAATCGATTTTTTATTCCGTCAATACAAGTGAAATCATTCAATTCAATTAATATGAATCATTCAAATCGGACGCTCCGTTCTATCAAAAACTGAATTTTGCCAATGAACTTCGAAACGGCCGCACCTGCCTTTACCCAAGAATAATCAACACGTACCTCATCAATAGAAAAGAATATTTTCAAAATCATTTAAATTGGTTAATGCGTGCATTTGAACTTCGATTTTTTGTGATTACTATAACTTACCCTATGCAAATTTAATAAAATTTTTTTTCTAAAAACTAATATGTGTTTATTTTGAATAATGTAATGGATAATTATGTGTTGAATACTATTTGGAACTTGATTATAATTAAGTTAAGTATGTATACATACTTTAAATCATGATCATACGCTTTTATTATTGAAAGTTTAATAAAGCTATATAAGGTGTATGCTTTAATTAATTTATGTATTAATTTATATACAATCAGGTTTGCGACTTATTAATTAAATAATAATTATTTTCACATATCCGGGTTATTTAAACAATATAATAATTCTATGAACCAAAGTATAAAGGCATAAGTTTTAGCATAAATATATTTTTATTCATAGATAAAAACACTCGTAATAAAAGAAACAAGAGATAGAGTCTTTGAAAACAAATACTGTGAAACAGACACGTGCTTACCTGGCTTCAATGGCTATTAACAATGTTTTTTAATTCTTCTTCACAAATTCGAACGATTCCCGTAATCCCTTCGGCTGTGACGTTTCCAAAACCATTCATTAGTCAAATTTAACTTATCTGTTCTGAATAGTCAGTCAGAATTACGTAATCTAATCATTTATTCGCTTCCTCTTCTGATTGTATCTTTAGCATCAATTAATAACTTAGCGCCGCCAGTAATAACTTCATTTCGAAATTAATTACATGGTAAGTGCATTAAATATAAACAATCTTCATCAATAAAATTGTTTTGAGAGAAGAACAGTTAAAACTTATAATAAAGTAATGAATTGAATTCTTTGATGCACGGTAGTATATAACATAAATAATTGTGGATATGTTTTATGGTATTTTAAATATTATTATATATTTTATGTTTGAACTTTTAAAAAAATACTGTTCACAGTTTTACACCTATTAAGTATAAATACAAATTAATAAATTTTATTTATTAACTTCTCGTAGGGTAAGTTATAGTAATCGCAAAAAAATCGAAAATGAAAATTTTGCATTTCTCGACGTTTCAAAGGTTTCTGAATATTTTGGCATACCTTAGAAAAATGGATGTATATGTGTGTGTGTGTGTGTGTGTGTGTTCGGATACAAATTTTCGTCGACGATTTCGAGAACACCGATCAACCGATTTAAATAATTTAAAAAACATTCGATTTGTACTGATAAGTAGACGTGCTGATTAGTTTTTGGTGAAGGCAGGTCTAGCCGTTCCGAAGATAAGGGGCAAAAAGTGCCAAAAACGGTAACACGGTTTTTAAGAGAACAGAGCGTCTGATTTTAAAAATTCAAAAAACATTTTACTTGTATTGACAAGATGAAGAATTGATCAAATTTTCATGAAGGCAGGTCTAGGGGTTTCGGAGATCTAATGGAAAAAGTAAAACAAAAAGCCATTTGGCGATCAAAAATGATCTTTAGACATGTGCACATCAAATTATCAGATATTTTATAGAGATTTTTAAAATAAGTATGAATTTTGTTTACATTCCTATGGGTTTCGTACCAATGTTTAACCGTTTAAACGGCGACGCGGCGCTTACGCGCTTTGACATTTCGTCTCTATGCAGTTAACGTTAACGATTGCTTTGAAAAAAGTTCATAATTTCCAAACTATGCCAAAATGAAGAAAACTTTTTTTTCAAACAATTTTGTTTTTGTTTCTAAAAAATCTAATTTTCTCAAAGTAAATTTTTTTCAAAAATTTTAATCGCTTTTAAAAAAATAATAATAATTTTTGTTACGGGAAGTTCCAGCAATTTGCCTTAAGGCACGATGCTTTAATTGCCTTAAGACAGAATTCCACTTACAGCTAGTTATTTATTATTTTTGGGCTTTTACAATATAACTTAGATTTGCCAATCATTACATTTTTTTAACTCTCAGAAGAGTAAGTTATAGAAATGAAAAAAATTCCAGGAATTTGTATTTGCCTTAAGATACGATGCCATGCACCACTAGTTCTATTATTTTTATTTTATATATTAATTAGTTATTATGTTATTTATTATTAATAATATCCATACTGATATTATTTCATTAGAATTTAAAATAATTAATTTTTAAATTACATTTTCTTTAATACATGCTCAACAGTTACTTGTCCATAACACCACTTGCAACAATTAACCTCAGAAATCACCCTTGACACTTGGAACTGAAAACTATAATTTCACTCAACGAAAATTTTCCCATTTCGCATTCATTCCCAAAAATCTATTTCACCCATAACAGGTGAGAAAATTCGTTTTTCCCGCAAATGCCATGCATTTGGCGTATATCACGCGCCGCTTTCAACTATCTACTAATAGCAACAAAGTACATAATATTGAATTTTCGGAAGGTCACTTCGCTCCAGCGCAACGCGGCGTCTAGCATTAGAACGAGCGAACGTGCTTTCGATGCTGCTTCGGTCGGAAGACTGCGGATTCGAAATTGCCGCCGAGAGAGCAACTCACAAACGTTTACTTTGACTAGTATAGTGCGAGGGATAAAGAATTACAATAGCGATAAGTTGACATTAAGGTAGGCGATTCAAGGATAGCCGGAAAGGGCCTCCTACCTTTCCGCAAAATGAGCATTCGTATTTTTTATGATTCTAGAAATTTACATCACCTTTAAAAAATTGATGTATGTATGGCTGTGTGTGTGTATGTTTGTGTGTTCGGATACAAATTTTCGTCGATGATTTCGGGAACACGTATCAACTGATTCGAATAATTAAAAAAATATTCGATTTGTATTGATTAGTTTTTGGCAAAGGCAAGTTTAGCCGTGTCGTATGATACGGCTACAAAAGTGCCAAAAGTTGTAATTCAGTTTATGAGATCTTTTTGGCACGTTTTCTTTCTTTTGGACCTGCCAAAAATCTACCTGCAGATAGGCAGGTCCAGCGGCTTCGTAGTTCCAATAAAAATGTAAAAAATGCCATTTTGCAGCCAAAAATGTTCCAATATGAACATCAAATTATCATATATTTTAATAATAAGTACTACTTTTCACTACATTTCTATAGTATCCATACCAATGTTTATGCGTTAGACTGCGACGCGGCGCTTACGCGCTTCGAAAAATTGTCTCTAAAACAGCTACGCAGCTATGCGATTGCTTAAAGTTCAAAATTTTCAAAAAACTAGTTGGTTTGGTATTTAGCCTTGAGGCAAGTTACATGAACTTCCCGATATGTGTAAATAATCGACTTAATCAAAAAAAATATGTACTGTAAATGTAAATAATATACTTCATCAATCCTACTTTAAATAAAACGATAATAATTTTAGCAAAGTTTGATTTTTTAAAATTAAACTACTTGTCGTAAGGCCGTAATATTAGAGTAAGTTCTATAAGACCATGATGTATATCGCCAAAAAAGGTTCCATGAAAATCGGCTTAAAATTTTTTTTCAACAGTTCATTACAAGAAAACGGCTCGGTAGATTTTCACATAAAATTAATCAGTACTATTCCCAACTAATATCTTTCGAACAGTTTTTGATTTTTTTAAAATCGGTTCGGTAGGATAAGCTTAAATGTGGGCGAAAAGTTTAACACTTTTTTTCAAATTGCAAAGAAACGGCTTGGCAAATCGTCACACAAAACTGACAAACCATAGTCCTCACCGAAATACATCAAATGGCTTTTAAATTTCTAAAATCGGTTCAGGCGTTTTTGAAAAAACGTCGATCAAAGGTCTAATTTTGACAAATGCCAAAAAAACGATACCAATTTTTGCAAACTTTGACGAATTTTTAAAGCTGAACCAGTTGTCGTAGGGCCGTAATATTTTAGTATGATCTAGAAGACTATGGTATCTACCGTCAAAAAATAATCATAAAAATCGTCGATTTTTTTTTTTTTTAAACTTTATTACAAGAAAACGGCCCGGCCGATCTCCACCAGAAACTAATCAGGTCGATTCCCAACCAATATCTTTCGAACGATTTTTGAATTTTCAAAATCGATTCAGAATTGCGGGCTAAAACGTAGACAAAAAACTTTTCACTTCTCTGCTATTTACGAAGAAACGGCATGGCCGATCGTCGCACAAAACTGACAAACAATAGTCCTCATCGAGATACATCGAATAGCTTTTAAATTTTTGAAATCGGTCCAGCCGTTTTTGAGAAAACGGCGATTTACGGCAAAAAATCTGTTGGTGCATACGCACACACACACACACACACATACTTTTTCCAAATTTGGTCTCATTCGATTCAGAATGGCTTGAAACGTCGAGAAAATATAAAATTAGCGAATCGGATTTTTTGATGAAAACTTCTCCTTCGGGAAGTTAAAAAATCGAAATATAAAAACAAATCAAACTTTTCAACAAAGTTATTTTTTTTAAATGCTGAAAGTTCTCAAAAAATAATATTTTCAGATTTCAAAAAAATTTAATCTTTTTTTAAAAAAAAGCATTTCCGGTACGGAAAGTTCCAGCAATGCGCAAAGGCCACGCACTAGTTAATTTTGGTAAAGAAATAACTCTACAAACTAGGTGTAGGTGATATTTTATTTCAAAGTAAGTTGCATGAATAAATTAGTAGGCATGTCATTGTACCTTAAGGCAAATTGCAGTAACTTGCCCGAACCGTAATAAAACACTCGAGAAATGAAAATAATTAATAAGCAATAAAAGTTATTCAATAATTAATAACAATTGTTTTAAATATTTTTACATAGATTATTAAAAATACTGTAACTCTATATACTTTTAAACTGTACATTCTAAAATTTTAGAAAAAATGTTAAAAGTTTATATAAAATTTTAATTTTTTTTGAAAATTTAAAAAAAATTTGGAAATTTAGGGATAAATTTATTTAAAAAAAAATGAAAATTAAAAAACGTTGAATTTGAAAATTTGAAAATTTAGAAATTAATTTTTTTTTTTAATTTTTCGAAAATTTGAATCGAGAAGTTGAAATTCCTGAAATTCTTTTAAAAGTCATTTGTAGACTCTTCACACTTCTTATAGGAATCAAATGTTTTTGAACCATCCGAATAGATTGAATCTGTTTAATGAAAAATGTAAATACATACATGCATGCTGATATTCATATAAAACATTTATAAACGCATACTTATATTTATTTTTAAACTATGTAGAGCTAATTTAAATATGGTACATAACATAATAGGTATGCATAATATTTTTTGTTATGCATATATTATTATTTATTATCATTTTTAACTTAGGTAGGCATAATATTTTTTGTTATGCATATATTATTATTTATTATCATTTTTAACTTCCCGATAAAGAAGTTTACATTATGGCCAAAATTTTCAAATTCCTAACTTTGTTTAAAGTCATTCTGAATCGATTGGCAAAAAGATGGGAAAAAAAAATTTGTATGTAGATGTGAGCTATATTTTGAGCCTTTATCGACAGTTTCTTAGAAATAGCTGCACCGATTTCAAACATTTATAAGCGATTTAATAAAACGTGCAAAAGTGTCATTGATCAAGTCGATTATTTAATCATATCGGGTAGTTCATGCAATTTTCATTAAGGCAAAATTCTACTTACTTACTACTTAATACTTTCTACCTACTTACACCCAGGTAACTTACAAGTGAATACCATATGAATTATTAAAAGTTAACCGTTTAACTAACATGTTGGATAAAAAGCCATATGAATAGTATAAAAATAAAACGACTAGAATGTTATTTAATGTATATATACACACATATATATATCATATATATATATATATATATATATATATATATATATATATGCAGGCTTAACTATACATAACATCGATCTTTAATTAAAATCAAAGAAAATTCAAAACATCCATTTACTTACATATTTCCGATATATGTTCTTTTCATTAGCAACTTGCACGAACGACGTGTAAATATGGTTGCTTTATAAGTTAAATAAATATGTAAAGTCCGTGGTTCTTAAAAAATTATTGAAATCTACTACCACAAATAATTCATAAACTCACGGTGAACAGAATCTTGAAGAATTCACAACTTCAAAATTGAAGAAATTATTTAATAATAATAATAAACATTCCTGGTAGAAAGCAAGACTTGCTTTTGCATAGTAGGTACAGTTTAATAATTTCATGATGCAATTAAATAATAGTTATCTTGATTAATGTAAAAATATCACACCTGGGGTTAGTTGAAACAAAAACTTGGGGCTAGTTGTGACATACAAAAAATATGTACGTATGTTACAGATTCGAGAGAAGAAGATTGAATGAAATATATAGTTTGTAAAATTAAGTAAAATCTGCGTTACAAGAGACCTATAAATTTTATTTGTATAATGATATGAATTGTAGCTTACGTTGATTTATGATAGAAATTTCTATTACAGGAGACATTATATATTTTATTTGTATTAATTATAATTTGCGTTGATGTATGAAAAGAGTTACTTAGAAAATATTCTATTACCGTCAAAATGAGTATAGAATATTAGAAGCATTATAGTCATTTTTTGGCGATATTACTTGCTACTGTAGATGTTACGACTAGCCCCAAACACATCACCGTATTTTTTCTAGAAATTTTTTAATTAGGAAATAATGAACAATTGTGGAATTATTTTTACTTAAAATAGTTACAGCAACCAATCTTCTTTATTTAATTTTTATATATCTTTACGTTTCAGAGGTTTCTGAATATTTTGGCATACTTTAGAAAAAATGGATGTACGAGTATGTGTGTATGTGTGTGTGTGTGTGTGTGGGTGTGTGTATGTGTGTGTGTGCGTGTATGTATGTGTGTGCGGATACAAATTTTCGTCGGCGATTTCGGTAAGAAGCAATTTGAATAATTTAAAAACATTCGATCCGTATTGATAAGGAGACGTGCTGATTAGTTTTTGGCGAAGGTAAGTCTAGCCGTTCCGAAGATATGGGGCAAAAAGTGCCAAAAACGGTACCTCAGTTTTTAAGAAAACGGAGCGTCCGATTTTAATAATTGAAAAACATTTTACTTGTATTGACAAGATGAAGATTTGATCAAATTTTCATGAGGGCAGGGCTAGCGGTTTCGGAGATCTAACGAAAAAAGTAAAAAAAAGTGCCATTTGGCGGTCAAAAATGATCATTAGACATATGCACATCAAATTATCAGATATTTTTTAGAGATTTTAACAATAAGTATAAATTTTGTTTACATTCCTATGGGTTCCGTACCAATGTTTACCCGTTAGACAGCGACGCGGCGCTTACGCGGTTTATATTTTCTCTGTGCAGTTAAAGCAGTACGATTGCTTTGAAAAAAAGTTCAGATCTTCCAACATATGTCAAAATAAAGAAAACATTTTTTTTTCAAAAATTAAAAATTAAAAAAAAAAAAAATTAATTTTCTTTTTCAATTTTTTTTTCAA